TTATTTATTTATTTAGGTTTAATTAATTAGAAATAATATTTATTTCGGGGGGGGGGATTAAATAATTAAAGCATTTTATAGAATAAGTATTTAATTAAGTATTGGAAATGAAATTAATTAAATATTTAATTAATCGCTAAATTAATGAATTCTAGCTATTTAGGTAGGTATTGGGAAATTTAATTTAGTAAATAATTTTGGATTATTTGAGTTTTTGTATTTTTTATAATTAATCTTTTTACTGTAGATGTATGTTTTTTATTATTTATTATAATTGTATATCTTTTTTAAATGATTGGAATGTGTGTTTAATTTAATTTATTATAATGCAGTTTTTTATTGTGGTAATTTTATGTTTAATTTGCAGGATTCTTTCGAAGATTTTGGTGGCGATGGTGAAGATTATAGTATATTGTTTGCTACAGATGAGGAATTTTCGGAAAAGGATGATGCTGTTGTTTGGGTGAAAGGCATGGGCATCGCAAATGGTATGATAATAAATGAAGTTTCTAGCAAGAGCAAGAATGGTGTTCTGATGAGATGCTGTAAAGGGGGAAAGGTGTCAGTTAATGATGGTGAATACTATGTCACATCAGATTCGAAGACACAAATCACTGGGTGTAAATTTAACTTATATGTGCACTTAGTTGATGAAAAGTGGCGCATTCGGGAGTAACTAATCTACTATTAATTAAATTAGTTTTTAAAATTCAACTAATTTACATACTATTTAAATTAATTTAATCAATTAAAATAATTAACTTTACTAATCTAGTAATAATTAAATTAAAAAAATAACCTAAATACTTTAATAACTATTTAAATTAATGAGTAAATCAATCTAACTAATTAGATAGTGAACTAATCTACTATTAATTAAATTATTTTTTAAAATTTAACTAATTTACATACTATTTAAATTATTTTACTCAATTAAAATGATTAATTTACTAATCTACTAATAATTAAATTCAAAATATAACCTAAATACTTTAATAGCTACTTAAATTAAGTAATTTAATCAATTAAACTAATTAGGTAGTGAACTAATCTACTATTAATTAAACTAATTACTAATCTACTCAATCCGGCGGCTCGACCGGGACGCGCAAGAAACGCGTCCCGGTTCAACCCAGAACGGGCGTTTTGCTCGTTCCGGGTTGAACCGAGACGCATTGCTTGCGCGTCCCGGTCGCACCGCCGGACGGCCTCCTTGACCGTTCCGGGGGCCAGAATTTTTTTTTTCTTTTTCTACAATTCACAAATTTTTTTTTATAAAAAAAACGTATCCATGATGAGATCGGCTCTTTCCCGCTTGGATTCTTCCGTGTTGCTATCAATTTTGGATCAAATTAGACTTCAAATTGGGGTTTAGAAGGGAGGTGGCTTCAAGTTTTCCCTCTTTTTTCCTTTGGTGGAAGTTTGAAATGTCAGGGGCAAAATGGTCCAATTTTTTTTTAGGTGGCTTTGAGTAGTAAAGATGGTGGCTTAAAAAACTAACACCCTACAATAAATGGGAGAAAAAAATAATGTGAAAATCTATTTTAAAAATTTATTTTTATTTAAAAGAATATCATAAGTGAAACTTATGACAAATTAAAATGTATTATAATAAGTATCAGAGTAAATGTCAATTATTTACTTATCAAATAGTACAACATGAGACGAGAGAAAAAATTCTTAGGCATTTATGGCTAATAATATCTGCTTATTCAGAGATTATTAAAATATATAATTATTAAAGACTTTATCTATAATAAGCTAAAATAAATGTGGCTTTGATCAATTACAAAGGGTTACAATAGAAATACATCAAGTAGAATTTCCTGAATCTCTTTGCATTGAAGATTTGAAGTTTGCAAGAACACGACCGATCCAAAGTTCTGCATCGACACACTCGGAGTAAGACGGCCGGCAAGAAAGGTTTTAGAGCATTTTCAACCAAGACACCAAAATACTAAAATTTAGTGTTTTAGTGTAAAGTTTTCATTCCAATGAACACATCAAATCACCACATTATTTTAGTGCAATAAATAGTGTTACACTAAATTTAGTGTAAATTGTTCATTACATTATTTTTAGCGTACTATTTTTTTACTTAGATCTAAATATATATTTGCTATGCAATTAAACTTGTAAAACGAATTATGTTATAAAAATTATATCATATTAAATTTTTTGTTGAGATCTTCAAAATAAGACCCATATTAAATATAAATTTTTCTTTTTTTTAAAAAAATACTTTTTAGTTATTAAAATTGAATATGAAAAATAAGTAAAAAAACTTGATACTTCTACAACCAAATAAAAAGCGATAATAAGGAATAAATTTCACAAAATTATCACCAAATTACATAATTTTAGTTAACTACAAAAATAAAATTTAAACTAAAACATTTAATAAGTAGATAATTTAGTGCATCAAGGTTGGAGTGTAAAGATATTTGGTGTAAAAAGATGCTTGGAATATTTCATTTATGCACTAAATTTAGTGTAAATTATAGTGCAATGATTGGAGATGCTCTCATTTATATCACTACAGAAAAGCATTAATAAACGGTAAAGAAAATTTCCCTATGGTGGAAAAACGGTTATTAAAAGAATGTGATCAAGATTATGATTTGGTTGCCAATAGAGATCTCCACGATGCCATTGATGCCTTGAATATTAACAGTTTTCGTGAGCCATCGAGAATAAGCACTGCAGCTAGGGATCATGTTGGAGATTGTGAAGATGGATTCAATGGAGCAAGCGTCAAATCTCCATTGAAAACTCAAAATAAATACTTGGCGAATTTTTGTTTTTTATCCAACCAGATTTTGTATACAATGATATAATACGAAGAGAAATTCGGATTTTTTTTCCCCGACCATATTTCTTGAGTGGTTTGAGAGTTGTATTCGAGTAACGGTATATCCAAATTCTTTTCATTGCAAAGAACACATATTTCAGTGCTTTTCGGGGGTCAACGAAATGATGCATGTGAACGAATTTCCTGCTGGTTTTATAGGTCTGATTTCAAGAGAATTAGACTCGTTAATTGTTATTCATAGAACGTTATGTAATGCTCAGTCTGATTCCGCTTTGCCAATGAATAATCAAATTTTTGCCACTTGTCCTTATCTATAATACTGCTTAATTAAAGCAGCATACAAGTTGATGATGTGTCAGCACAATACAAAATCATTTTTGACACGGGCCACATTAACTATTTAGAGAAAAGATAGAATAAATAAATATAAGTAAATCCCTTAATTATAGGTACATACTAATCCCTTAATTATAGATATATACTAATTCTTTTAAACAACAATATTGAGTTGATAAAATAAATATCAAAAAATCCGACACTGCCAGTAATGCCTCTCTAATCTCCCTAAATAAAATATGTTCGCCGCCTCCAAAGATTCTTGCATCTGTGGTACCAATGAAATTTTTGTTTTCTTGAAACTTTATGAACTGGCTTCTCTCAAAGATTCATTTTAAAAGTGATTGCGACCAGAAATAATAATCTTTCAGCACTGATAAGAAAGTTTAAAGAGTTCAATAAATAGGTTAAGAATATACAAATTGACATTTCCCGGTAACAGAAGGGTGCCGATCAACAAACTGCTCAACAGAGATGCAGAACATGATTATCATGAAAAGACTGAAGGATCCAAAACCACCTTATATAAATGTGTAGATTTTTCATTTGGATACGTAGTCCCTTTGGCCAGGGAACCTCTTCATCCTCAAAGCAATTAAAACTTGGCAAATGTATAAGTAAAAATATTAACGAGAATCTTTCTACATCTCTCAATGACGTTTTATTGGGTTTGAGTCAATTTTTGAAATTTTTAATGTTGTTTCCTAATTTCATTAAAATATGTTATAAAATTCATTCCATTTTTTGGTTTTACGTTATTATTAATACATATGTTATGGTCTATGGTGTTATTCTTTTCCGGGCAAATTATTATTATTTTTATTTCATTGACAAATAACATAGAATGCCGCCTAGGCATTCGCCCGAAGTTTTTAATGAAAGAAGCTTCTATCTCGTCCCAAATTTCAAGACATCTTAAAGTTTATTATCACTATTATCCATAGCCAATTGCCACTTTCTCCATTGAAAATTTGATTAACCAAAAAAATTAATTTTTTTTTTCGACCATACTCAAAGGGCCATGACTAACCTTTATCTTAGCTAATTGTGCAGACAACTAATGATAGAACGCTAGATCAGTCTAAAACCCTCGACACCGTTGCAAAGAAATTAAGTAGGAAATGTGAAAAACTAAAAAAAGTAAGAGGATATTGCGAGAGATAGAGAGACCCCTAGATATTTGAATTCACATTTTGAATTCTTGATTCACTACAAAAAGGTCAATTTGGGATCAGTTAATCGACCCATTAAGCCACTTGTAAGTTCTACGATCCATCAACGAGATGCACCATTGATGAGAGATTTGACAACAAGGTGATCCTGTGGCTTCAGTCTGCAGGGTACATGTAGTTGTAATACTGTAATAGTAGGGATATGGGATTCCACTAGTTTACTCCAGAGTTCTTCCTTCCTTCAACTGAATTTGTAAATTCACAAAGGCAGTTAACATCTATATGCCTTGTACTGCTAGAGGTCGACAAGTCAGGTCTTATTTTAAGAGGACTAGAGCATGCAACATACTAATAAGAAACAGAAGAAGAACACTTGACCAAAAAGAGTAAAAGGGAATTCATGGTTGAAATATTGTGAGTTCAAAGAAAGACTATAATGATGGCAAATATAGGAAAGTGTTCAGGTTTTTGTAATTGAGAAGTCGGATCTTCCTAGCAATGTTTGTACCGTTGAACCTAAATCATGGGAACTTTCTAAAAAAAAAAAAAGGAGCGAAGAAACAATAGCACCTATGATAAAGATCAAATTATCACTTCCCATGTTTCTCATGTGGAATAGAGTATTGACAGGTTAATATACCTTAACTCTACGATAAAAAACTTTTAAGCCCTGCACAGCTGGCTTCCAGAGTTGCAGCCATGCTTCTAAATAAAGTGTCAAAGGGTAATAAACACAAACATAAATTGGCCAAGTAATGAATGTAGAACAAAGAACTTTCAATCTAATACTGATGCAATCGCTTTTTGTTACAGAATGGCTATATGTAATAAGCTAACAGTTCAGTGATTCAATTTCTGCTGAATCAATCTACATTGCATTCTCAAAGGAGAAGCACGGCGACACCAAAAAAGAAATTATTTACAACAGTCAAGCAAACCTCCTTGTCAAGTGAACTTATCTGAGCCCCTCGCTGAATTCATTCTCCAGTGAGGTGGACACATGAACACAGCCACAAGGGCAATTATGTCTGGTTCTATTGGTTGTGATGCAAATGAGGAGCAGGTATAGGGTAGCTAATATCAGCACTAAATAGTTGATGCTCCAAAGGTGTGACAATAGCGTTTCCAGAAGGTGAATTTCCTTCATCAACTGAAAAGGAATGCGCAGCACTTCTTCACAACTGGCGATTATTAACATATGTCTCAAGGTCCTCAAGCAACCTTTCTACATTAATGAGCGAAACAAGAGCAGCCGCATTTTCTGATAACTCTCTTGTAAAACGACTTGTGCGCCATACCTGAAAACCTTCTCTTTCTGCAGGCGAATTCTCCCCCATGGTACTAGTACTAACACTAGTCCTTAAACGCCTTAAGGCTTCTGCAACTGGAACATGGATATGGGAAATACCCAGAGCCACACGCTGCTGTCTCTCACTCTCCACTCTCTGTGCCTTTGGCCTGGGAGGAATTGTTATTGACGAATCCAAACTAGAGTTCCTAGCACTATCTCCATCACCATAAATGGGAACAATGCTGGAATCAGTAACTTCTCCTTCACAAACAGGACAGTCCCTTGCAAACGAATTAGCATAAGGCAACTTAGAAAAGCAAGCCCAACAAAACAAGTGCCCACAACACGTCAGGATAGGTTCTCTAGCAATGTTCAAACAAATGTTACAATCGTAGAAGTTGCCACGACTCTCTTGGACCGTGCTTACATCGCTGCTCATCTCCAATGCCATGGCAACAAGACAGCTACTTTTCCTTTTGCAACCCTTCCCCCTCTGTGCAATGCTATGATCGGCACCGCCACCCTCCACGCCACCCCACATTCCCCTATTAACATTCCTATCAGCCACTGGCCCAACAAAAGAAGCTCCAGTCTCAACAATATTTCGATTTGACCACCTCCCCATGCTCAATCCAGCTCTAACAGCAGCAGCCTTAAGGTGTCGAAACCGCTCTTTTATAGCACCATCACCAGTCTCTAAATCACAAATTTGATCCCCCACCAAATTTGATGCTGAACCAACAAGCTGATTCAAAGGCTGTTGGTCCAAACTCTGATCAAGCACAGAACCCTCCATCAAATTATCCAATGGCAGGATCAAACAACAAAGTGTCTGCTCAAAATCTCAAAGGCCCTTCTAAAGCTACCACACCAAACCCCTAAACTTTCAGTCCGGAAGAAACAATCAAGCCTTCAATCAAGAAAAGATGTTCTCAGAACCAAGACATGCAGAAATTTCAAGCATCATAGAATAAATCATCAACTATCCCACCAAAGAAAACAGTCAAATGCCTAGAGAATTGAATCAGACAAACATAAATTAAGCAAAAACAATTCATCCACCAAAAAAAAAAAAACTAAAAGGGGGATCGATATCACGTACCTTAACAGCAAACAAGAAACACGAGAAGAAAGGGCTTGATTGCTTGAACTCCAGAGTTACTTCTGCTGAGAAGGAGGAGGTGATCAGGAGTTGAAATTGAGGAAAAAGATGAAAAGCTTATGCATTTTGGTGAGGAAGGGGCGGTGGGATGGCGAAGGGAAGCGGTGGACGAGTGTCTTTTGTTGTGGGGGCGGAGTGAAACACGAGATTTATTTAGAACATTTTTTGGAGTGTCAGAAGAAAAAAGAAGGGGCAACAGGTTCGCGGTTTTATTGGACCAGTAGGTTCAGTGGATTTGATTCCTGGATCTTATGAGGCTGCAACCACTACGTCTTATTGGGTTGCAAGACTTTTACCATTTCTTTTTCTGATCCTTTCAAGTTTCTTCAACTCATTTTTTTCCCCTTTCTTTCTTTCTTTTTTCTTTTTTCGGGTTTTTGAAAAATTCATTAGATTTCAAAGTGATGATTTACGAGGGATTTCTAATCTAAACTAGCCATAGCCATTCTAGACACCGAATAATTAGATGTTTGAGCATATTAACTTACTCAAATATCTCCTTCGGAACCAGGTAAAAGGTTGAGTATATTAGTTTATTCTTTTTTCCGAACTAGGTGAAGTGTTGATGTAGTTTTCCTTCCAGAACCAAGTGAAAGGCTGATGTAGTTTGTATCTCTTTCTGAATCAGGTGAAAAGGTTGATGTAGTTTATTTCTTGACATTGTTACCATCTTGCACCAAATCGGTTGTAGTCTAATTTCTACAGCATTCTGGAGACTTCTCAGACATGTAATCGCCTGAAAACTTCTCAAACATGTAATCGCTTCTGTATTTATGCTAAAACTGTGACACTCACTTTCGCTTGTTAGGATTTTCTAAGTAACCGCTACTTTACAAGAAATTTCCTTAGATGCACCATCAACCCTAATGACATATGCTCTTTCATTTATCGTTCAATATAAATTACAATTAGAAAATATTTTCGTACAAAAACTCCCCAAAGATCCATTGTTCACCCTCTCAACTAACTAGTTCAAAATTTACTTCAACCACTATTATTAATATTACAGATTGATTTGGAAATTTCATAAATTTATAGACTAATAAATACGCTTATTGTTTGGAAATTGAATAACAATCTAGTGCTTTGGATGTTGTGCTTCCTATGAATATATCTGAGTTCAATTCTCATCAAGGGGTTTTACCTGCAAATAAGTAGGCATATTAGAGGTGGGCCCCACATGATAAATCACATTTTAAATAATATCTCAAACTCAAAGAAAAAAAACTAAACCAAAAATCAAAATATACTATTGTCCAAATAAGCCCTTGTTTTTATCATGTGGGGACCACATCTAATTTTTTTCTTTACTCTTATTCAATTTTTTTTCATGAGTTATTTTGGTATAAAGAAAAAAAAATACTGAATAAGGGTAAAGAAAAAAATTAGATGTTGGCCCCACATGATAGAAATAGAATAATTCAAGGGTAAAATGTTTCGATTGTGGCCCACGGGTTAAAAAAAATCAGATTTTGATTTTTTGATTTTTTAATTTTTAAATTTTTTAATAATATTATATTTGAATTTTGAATTTTGAATTTTTTTTCTTTTTTAAATTATAAATTAATATAATATGTTTAGTATTGTTTTAATACATTTTTGGTTTTTAACATATTTTAAAAATCTGATATTTATAAATTACCGAAAATGCCCCTATTGAGTTGACAAAGAATTGGTCAACCCAAGAACTCACAAATGTAAAGGGCTAAAAAAGATAAAAAGGACCAAATTAGTTGGAAAGACAAATGTAAGGGACCAAATGAGTGAGTTTTTAATATAAAGGACCAAATTAAGTTTTTGGACAAATGTAAAGGATCTTTTGTGCAGATTACTCTAAATATTAATGGAGATGGTAATAATCTCTTGGCATGCTTTTTCTTATATATATAAAAAATCTCTCGGTATGTTAAGTTGTACGACTATGGCTAATAATAAATAAACAAAATTTTTACCATAAGACATTTTTTAAAGTTACTTTTCATCTCATTTATAAGGTATTTGATGTCTTTAGAGTTTCATCTATTACAAAATTCTAACTTTACTCCAATTTAAGTTGACTAAACTTTAGTTTGATTGGTACATACACTTTTGGCTAGAAATTGGTGGCACATTTAATAATAGATATAGATACTTCACTAAACAATAAACTAATTTAATTATTTTTTTATTAATTCTTGGATAATAGTTATTTGAAACTTATATGAAGAATTAAAGGGAGTATTAGAAACTACTCGTTGTAATCGGACTCTATTGTGGACTCTATTATTGATCTTTTTATAAACTTAAAAGTGGCACTTCCCCAAGCAACTACACTATAAAAACAATTCTTTTGAAAATCTATCACAAAAAAAAGAAAAAAGAAAAAAGAAGAAGAAAGAGATGAACTACCTTCCTTTGTTAACACTAAACGACTTAGCAAAGTAATCTTGGAATTATAGATTTCACAAAACTACAAAAGTGTAATTAGAAAGCAAAGGGATATTATGTGCAAAGTTTGAACAGAAGGGTCATCTAAAATGTGCACCACTAGGTTGACAAAAGACAACATTCAGGTTTTCCCAAAGTCACCATGGATGACCAAATTAGGAGTGTTAAGATATAAACAAAACATATCGTAAACTCTCTAATCCGTAGAGAAAACTCCAATTGCATTTGGTCAAATGATTTCTTCTTTCGTATAAGTATCGACTTCACACCAAAGAAGAAAATTTTGATTGAATTTTTCAAGGTAGTTCCCAAACATGACAATTTCTCATGTTTGTTTTTGTAGAAGAATAACATTTGATAACGAAAAAACTTGAACAATGTAGACAAACAGTGATCACAGAGGGACTATTTGTACATGATGCATCATATTCTTGAGTATCAAAGGAGATCTCAAAACCGATGCTAAGAATAATATAAGGTTGATGTAAATTTTGAATCTCAACCGACTTAGGAAGACGAAACCTTCACAATCTTTACTACACTTAATTTATCTATATATGTTGTAATTCAAAAGCACTGCACTTAAATGTGGATAACTAATTAAAGAGCAAAGGAGATGGTATAAGAGATGATGTAATAGCAGAAAACACGTGTTGGCTATGACTAAGGAAGTAACATGTGAGAACCAGCATATCCCTCCACTATATATAAAGTTTATATAGAAAAGGTATAACATACAGTTTATTCGACTACATACGTCTTTCTCTATGTTGAAGTATGTTTTGAGGGTTATTTTTTTTTTTTTAAATTTCGACTTATGTCTTCTCATTGTTTTTAAAAGCTATCTATTGTACATGCCTAACCCTCACCTTCACATGTTAGGATTTTCTAAGTTACTGCTAATTTACAAGAAATTTTGGTGGGTGTCAAGCCACACAAATAAATTAACCTACTTCAAACTACGTAGTATAGAAAAGTAAGGTCGTCTCCTCAGGGAACGATGGATTATTTCTTTCAAATTAATGCAAAGATGGATTTTTGGATTGTTGTTCTAAATCTATGATAATGAAATTCAAATAACAAAAACTAAATAAATGAAAAGAAAGCAAAGTAAGACTTCTGAATCGAGGGATGGATAACTCAATTATTTCATTAATCACAGGCTACTAAAACTACTCTTGCAATTTAAGCATTCAACTAAAGATCTATTAGGATAGCCGTAATAAATCAATTAATCTCCCTAATTTAACTAACCAAGCCTAGCACTCAATTAGTCCTTATCAAAATTCGGCTGGGCACAATAGCTTTCCATACCAAACAATGACAGCATAAATACCGAGGAAATATAGTTGAACCGAAATCTAAACAATTGAGATAGCTGCAACTATTCAGACTTTGCTTCATTGATTCCATTTAAACTAACATGCATATTCAATGTCTCACCAATACACATGCTTTGTCAAATTGCTACTCAGTAAAACCGGTTCTTGTCTATTACGTAACATTTGACTAGTAGATAGCACTAGAAAATAAATAACAAATAAAGTTGTCAATTTGAATGATATCTACTTTCATAACTCAATACAAGAATCAACAAATACTTAAATTATAGGCAAGAACAATAAATTAAGAACAAAACCTCATAATGGAATAACTGAATAAATCCCTTGAATCAGAAAGAAAATCCTTAGCCACTCATAGACGAAAACATGGCGGCTTTATTCTCTGTGGAAATTCAAGAAAAATTGGAAGAAATAAAAAGTTTGAGGTGCTAGCCTTTGGCCTATGCACGGCTGTCCACAAAAATAAAACAAAAGTATATTTATATGGGAAATTTAGGTCAGCCGCTGGAAAAGAAGAATTAGTCCATGATTTGCATCTTTGGTCCCTTAAGTTTGCAGTATTTTCACTTTTGCCCAAAACTTCTTTAATTTTGTATTTAAGTCCCTGATCGTGCAAAATCATCCAAAACAGCTCCAATCTCTTATTTTCAAACTCCTAACAAGAAATAATAACAAAACCAATGAATTAAATCCATCCGAATCCATAAACTAATAAAATATCAACAATTAAAACACAATTTATAGACTCTATCAAATTTCCTTAAATGCACCATCAAACCTAATGACATATGCTCTTTTTCATTGTCGTTCAATATAAATTACAACTGCAAAAAATTTTCCCACAAAAGCTCCCCAAAGATCCATTGTTTACCCTCTCAACTTACTAATTCAAAATTTAATTTAATCGCTTTCATTATATTTATAGGGTTGATTCGAAAATTTCATAAATTTATAGACAAAAAAGTAGGTTTATTGTTTGGGAATTGAATAACGGTCAAGTGGTTAGGATATTGTGATTTCTGTGAATAGACTCGGGTTCAATTCCTACAACGGGGTTTGTAGGGGGACGTTTTATTACCTACATTTAAATAGAGTCCATTGGAATAGTTCTTTTTTGGAACAAAAAGTAGGTTTATTATTTCGTGGTAAGTTTGTTATGGATTTCTCATAAATGTGAATGGAAATAGTAATAAATCTCTTGGAATACTTTTTCAAAAAAAAAAAAAGAAAAGATAAAAAAATCTCTTGGCATGTCAAGTTGTGTGGCTATGATTGATAATAAATCAAAAGATTCTTATTATAAGTCATTTTTAGAAGTTTCTTTTTGTTTCATTTATAAGGTTTTTAATGTCCTTAGGGCTTCATTTGTAATGAAATTCTATCTTCAACTTAAGTTGACTAAAGTTTAATTTGATTGGTTCTTACACTTTTGCCTAGGAATTGGTGGCACATATTTAATAGATAT